AGATCGCGATTGACATCAGCGATGGCCTGAGCTGCACTGGGCGGGAGACGAAGAAGGGCCGAGAGCACTGCCCGGTTGTTGTTGGCGGTGTCCTCACTGTCTTCTACACCATTCTCCAACGCCTCGGCCTCCGCTAATCGACCACCACCGTCCTGACTAGCCGAATTCTCAGCACCGGGCTGCGGACTGACGCCGGTCTTGGGCGGGAAGAGGCAGCGGTAGGGGTGCGGCACATAGCTGAAAGTAGAAGCAAAAAAACTACCTGTACAGAAAAGCAACGTTTCGAAAACCCCCCACTAAAACGCATATGGGAAAAAATCTTGCAACTCAGTGATGGCATGTGCCTTACGATACAATATAGTAGATTTGATATCCCAGGAAATATTGATCGAAAGTATTTTCGAGTAGAAAAAAAGCTCAAGTTTGGTTTTACTAGCTGGTAACCTGCAGCATTATCTCCAAATGTTTCGGTCACATCAAGTTTTCAAACTAACTTCCTTCCGACCGCCTGCAAAAATTGCAGTATTATGAAATTTGCTTAGTGATTTTCAATTCCCTTATATATTAAAATAGATTTAATATAGAAATACAAGAAATATGTTCTCTCCGAATTTTATGCCTAAAGAAAAAGCATATGTTGGACCGTAAAATTCCCATTCATCAGGCATCGTAGCGAACGAATATCATTCGGTTTAAAAAGCTTCTTAATTATGACATTTATGTTGTAACTTACCATACTAACAGCCTAGGTACTAGCTAAAAAGTTGTTAGTGCGGTAAGTTAAAAAAATCAATATATACTACTAAAGTCTGTCCGTTGGCAGCGAGTGCATATTTCGCAGTGGTTGACGGGTTTCAACCCAAATACACACAATTTCGGTCTACGCCTATAGACCTTTAATACACTGATATATATCGCTAACAGAAATTAATTTTTCAAGAAATCAAGAAGCTTAATTATGATATACAGGGTGTCCCAAAAATGTATACACATTTTAAATAATTGTAAACTT